AGTGAGTCGGTGAGTTCCAAGAAGGGGATGGAAGAGGGACAGCGTAGACGGAGGAGTTGAAGGGAAGACAGAGGAGGAGAAAAAGGAAGGAAGACATGGACAGAGGTGGTGAAATGGTGATGAGAAGCAGCAGCAGCAGCCGAGAGCATCTCGGATTCTGGGCCTGGCCCTGCTCCAGCCTTGCTTGGGGCCTCGGTGTCCCCATCTGTGAAATGGGTATGGGAGGCTGAAGCTGCACTCTCCCCTTCTCCTTTGCTGGTCAGAAGGTGAGGCTAATGGCAGGGAGGGGAGCTCCAAGGATGGACTGGGTCAGTCCCTGGGACCTGCCCTGGCATAGGGGTCCTCTAGCTCCCGTGGTCCCAGCTATGTCCTGGCTCCTTGGCACGCACCAGGTGGGGCACCCACTGCAAAGGCCAGCCTTGGTGCCACCTCCTGCTGGGGATGCTACCCTCCCACCACCTCGTCACCTCCTACCTGCTCTCCAAGGCCCAGATGAGCCCTCAGGGAACTGAGGATATTGAGGGGAGCCCTGTTAAGGACGCTGGGGGAAGGGGTGGGCGGGACCCACAAACCCAGACTTCCAGATTCCCAGCAATCCAGGGAGAACACTACACAAAGGTCAGCTGCCTGTGCTAACAGTCCCCCAGGCCCAGCATAGGGTGCAGGGTGCCTTCGTGATGGGCACAGAGCTGAACAAGCCCTGGGGCCAGGTGTGCCGGGAAGCAAACTCCTATGGCCTCCTCGTGGCACCTAGGGTCCTTGGGGCTTGGGCCCAACCTTGGCATGTGCCTTTCCCTCTGCCTGGAATCCATGAACCCTTCCCTGGATGGCTACATTTTACCCTTCAGGTCCCAGCAAAATATCACCACCTCAGAGAGGCCCCCCCAGGCCATCCAGAGGGAAGCTGGTGTCCCCATTTCTGCTCATGTCCATTTGGGCAGTTCCACACTTCTGCATTCATTTGATCTGCATCTGTTTTCCAGACTAGCCAGAAGCTCGGGGGCAAGGCTAGACCGGGAATCTATCACACTTCACGAAATCCTGCCTGCGATGCCCTCAGCCCTAACTCAAGTTCAGGCTCGGGACCACTGTGCAGAGCACTGTACTCGGAGTCTTTACCACATCTGAAAATTCAGAGTGATATCTTCATTTTACAAATGGGGAAACTGAGGCTCAGAGAGATGCAGCCAACTGCCTGGGGCACAGAGTGTGCCCGGAGCAGAGCTAGGATTTGAACCCAGGGCTGTCTGGAGGCAAAGCCCCTCCCCACACCAGGTGCCCGGGAAGAGGAAGGGTAGGGAGAGCTCTGTCTGAAATGGGATGGGGGCGGCCCAGAGCTTCAGTTCTGCCCCCTTGGCACCATTCAGGTTGGCTATGCCAAGAGGTCAGTTGACAGTTGACAGTCACCTGAACAGAGGTCGATTAAAGGGGAATAGTCTGTGCAGGGCAGTGAGGTTATGGGTGACTGGATTTGCATATCATTTGTGTGCTATTTGCATAACACCCCTGTGCCTTCTGTCTTAGCCTGAGGCTGTGGCCCATGTGGCCACAAAAGGCTGGTAAGATGACTCAGTGGTGCCTATCACACAGGCACCACAGCCCCAAACAAAGGCAGGAGGGGTCCACTGCCGCCTTCAGGCAGGGCACTGAGGTTAGTCCGATGCAGCCAGGAAGGTGGGAGGAGCTCATGCTGAGGTGGTGTCACACACGTGCAGGGGCAGGGAGGGAGGGCACCTGTCTGGGGTCGGCCCCGCAATAAGGGGGCACCCGCCGCAGCACAGCCTTGCTGCCTCCTGGAGCATAAGCAGAATTCACCCAGGAGTGTGAGCGATCGATGCCCTGGAGATACACGGATAGGTGGCAGCATCCCCAGTGGGGGCAGGGAAGGCAGCACAAACACCGAGCGTGGACACTGCCCTGGACCATATGTGTGCCCACGCGTGCACCCACACGCAAGCCTGGAGAATGTGTAAGTGGATGTAGGTGCATGCGGATATGTACCTGTGCACGTAGGTGCACGGAGAGCTTGTGTGTGTGTACCTGTGCATGTAGGTGCATTTGTACATGCACCCCTGTACGCAGGTGCATAGGGTGCTTGCATGTATGTACCTGCTGCACTGTGCACACGCTGCTGTTTGTTCAACCGGACCAAGCTCCTGCTACTCATCCCTGTGTAGGTCATGGAGTGGAGAGCCCAGTGCAGTCTGACTCTCAGCCCCCAACCTGTGACAGCCACAGCCCAGCCCTGGTGCCCAGAGTCGAGCCTCCGTCCATGTTGTGGTCTCAGTTGTTTCCTGTCCTCCATCAACAGTAAGCTTCTTCACCCTCCCACTCGGCAGCCATGGCCACTAGGGGCTGGAGATTCCAGGGCCCCCCTGGCCCTACCTTGCTGGCCAGGATGCGGGAAACCTCATCGTCCACAGAGCCAGGGCCCACGGCCAGGTCAGGGTTGCTGCTGCTGATGCTCTTAGAACGGGCCAGGTAGAGGCTTGTGGGGCGGCCAGAGCCACGGGACAGAGTGGCAGCCTGCACTGTCACTGGTGGGGCTCCTGAGCATGGAGGGAAAAGGGTCATCCACCCGCCCACCTGCCCTGATGTCCACAGCCCCTTCCCAGGCAGCGCTCCCGGTGATGTCTCTTTCCTTTACTAAGCCTCCGATTTCTTCATCTGTAAAATGGGTATAATAATAGCTGCTGCCTCAGAGCAATTTTGGGGGGACTGAAAACCACTGAGAATAATGCCTGGCACATAGGGGTTAGTGCCTATTATTATTTAGCAAATGAAAAAAAAAAATCCACCTTTTTAGAGTGCTCACTGTGTGCCAAGCATTTTGCATGGGTTTCTACGTCATTTACTATCACCCATGCCCCCATGAGGTGGGTATTAGCATTATCCCTGCTTTACAAAAGGGAAAAACAGGCTTAGAGAGGGGAAGTCACTTTCCCAGGGTCACAGAGCTTGTAGGCAGCCCAGCTTGAGTCCCCGCTCAAAGCTGATGATGCTCGCTGACTAGCTGAGTCATCTGCCAGTCAAGTGTCCAGAGGCCACACCCCTTGGGATGGGGAAAAAAGGGCAAAAGGAAGTCATCCCTCTCTTGTAAGTTGCCCAAACCAGCCAAAGCCAGTGTGGCCTCAGAGCCTTTGCACACGCTGTTCTCTCTGCCTGGGATGCTCCTCTCCCAGGTATTTCCTGTCTCCCAGGGTATTTTACTAACACTCACCACCCGGGAGGCTGGGCTCGGTGCCAGGCAGGCGAAAGGCGTAGTAGACATAGGCAGCCAGCAGCGGGCAGTGACCACGGGCATCCTGGGCAGCCTCCAGGCTCCGGTGGACAAGGCTGACCACATGAGCCATTGCTTCAAAGGCCCCACGGCCCAGGTTCACTGCCGGGCAGAGCAGAGGTCAAGTTCCAGGGTCAGGGCTCTCCTCTCACCTCCCCACCCATCTTCCAGAGGAAAAGACATTAGAGTCCAAAGATTCATGTGACCATCAAGAGATCATCGAGAGATCAGAGAAGACCTGCTCTGGGCCCAGTGGACTGTGGTCCATTTTTTAGGTGGGAAAACTGAGGCCAGAGAGATAAACAGGCTATAGGAGGTCACCTAGGACCAGAGGCCTGAGAGGCTACTTTCTGGATGGGGAAACTGAGGCCTGAGGCCACACTTGCTCACCAATCTGGCCGCTGATGATCGGGGGCCGCACAACCAGATGCACGAGCTTGTCCAGCACATGGTGCGAGAAGGCCACAAGAGGCTCGGGGCTGGCCAGGCGCAGTGCCGCGAGGCTGGCCCGCAGCTCCTGCTCCATGGTGCCCTCGCTCAGCACGGCGTCCTTGAGCCGGAACGGGAAGGTCCCCTCCTCCAGGACATGCACCAGGGTAAAGAACTTGTCCACGTGGGGGTCCTGAGTGGGGACGTGGGGTAAGTGGCGGAGGGGGGAGGAGGGTCAGGGCCAGGGCACCTGGTCCGAGAAGGCTGCGGGGGACTGAAGCCACCCCCGCCTGAGGTGGCAGCCAGCCCGGCTTATGGAAGTCACGTCCATGGCCCCAGGCCAGTCCTCCCTGGCCAGTGGCAACTCTTGCTCAATCCTGGGGCAGGCAGGAGGGGAGCAGCACAGGACTCCCGGGTCCACACCCCACCCCGTACCTGCGGGTGCACAGATGACATGGCTGTGAGCTCCACGCTGAACACCCCCTTGTGGCCATCCACCCAGCGCATGCCCGGCAGCGCCACCTGCAGGAGGCACCGGGTATACAGTGGCTGTCCCTCCCCCATTGATCAGGCCACTGGGTGGCCCCAGCCATTGCAACACTGTGGCCTGAGCATGGCCCAGCTTGGAGGAACAGCTGGGCACCCTGCCCCCAGCCTAGTCCCAGCGGACTCAGGGGTTCCCCTGGACAGGCTGTAAACCCATGTGTGAGTTGGGGGACAGGAGGGATGCACGTAGGGGCAGTCAGACACACAGAGGCATTACTGGGGGGGGTGGGGTAAGGAGGTAGGAAGGGGCCCAGGGCATTGACAGGAAGAAACGGAGCGCTATGGGGGTCAGCGAGGCATCAGGATGTCACTGGAAGGCAGCCGATGCATTAGTGGGAGCTAATGGGTGGACAGGGCATTGGGAGGCAGGGGTCCAGGCCACGTACGTCTGGTGTGAGCACGGAATAGCTGGGTGGGGGCTGGTCCACAGACACGGGGAGGCAGAAGGGGCCGGTCCTCAGGCGGCCGTGCTGCAGCAGTGGGATCCACTAGAGCAGAGGCTGGAGTCAGGTCTGGGGCCAGGTTGGGGGCAATCAGGAGGGCCAAGGGGACAATGGGGCAGTGTGTGGGGGGGCTCACGGTAAAGCCCACAGGTGTCTCCAGGGCTGTGCCTGGCCGGGGCTGGCAGCTGACATGGTAGAAGGTGAAAAGCAGGTGATGGTTCTCGGTCACGCAGGCCGGGAGACGCAGCTTGAACTCCTCGTAGAACTCTGGGGACCTGAAGGATCGGGCTGGGGCATCTGCTGCGGGCTAGGAACGCCATGTCCTGTCCCCCAGGGCTGCTGGGCCCCACTGTCCCTGCCGTCTGCCTCAAGTCTCCCCATTAGTGCTCCTGGCACCTCCACCCTCCTTTTTCCTGTCACATGCACATATATCTCCCCACACCCTTAAGTCCCTCCTTAAGCATCCCTCTCTAGCCATTAGCGCCCCCACCTACTTGTTGTGGTAGACCACTGGTGTGAAGGCCTCGCGGGTGAATTCGCTGCAGCTGGACTTGCCGAAGATGACCTGAGGGTGTGGGGACATGAAGGGCCCGCTGGGGATGTCCCACCCTCCTCCCCTGGGGCACAGGCACTGACCGGCAGGGCCTGGCTGGGGTCCTCGCCCGCCATGTACTGCACGCGCACGGTGAGGTTGCGCACAGAGCCCTGACGGCTGCTGAAGTTGAGGCTGTGCGGGTACACGTACAGCAGGTTCCTGTGGGGGATGAGACGGACGGTTAGAGGGACAGGGGCCTCACTGGCGCACATAAGAGGCCCAGCCATCAGAACAAGGACCAGGGACAACGGACAGTCAGAGGGAAACTGGGTCATGATGCTGGACATGGAGTGCCAGGTAAAAGGGAATACGGGCACCAGGCAGGAGATAGGACTGGCAGAGGGTGGTGGACAGATGAACACCCTCAAAGCACAGATCAGAGGTCAGTGTGGCAGAGGGTGGGAACACAGAGGGACTTCAGGGGCACTAATAGAGCATGCTGAGGTGGAGGGCAAGGAACAGATGGGCACTCTGGCCAGAGTTCCGAAACGGTGGCCCAGGTGGCCAGCAGTCAGGTCCATGGACAGTGGTCAGGCCCAAGCTCTGCCCAGGCTGACTTGCCCTTCACCCAGCCCCAAGGGCCTGACTGTCCTCTCAGCAGAGGTACCTACAGTTATGTGGCCTATACCTCAGGTGGGGAAACTGAGGCCAGACTCAGAGGTAGGGGTTGGGATCAGAATCCTGCCTGCCTCTCCCAGGGGCACCTCTGTGTAAGACCCAACCACCTCCTGGGCCTCAGTGTCCCTGTCTGTAAAATGGGGGCATTGGACCTTCCTGCTGAGCCTCTGTAACGATAACCATGATGATATATAACAACAATGACAATAACTGCACCAAACACTTATATGAGGTACTTCATAGAAACTTCATGGAAAGATTTTTTATTAGAAGATTTATTATCTTTTTTATTAAAGATTTATTATTATATCTTTATTAAAAATTTATTATCTTTTTTTTTTTTTTGGACAGCTGGCTAGTGCAGGGATCAGAACCCTTGACCTTGGTGTTATAACACTTTGTCCCAACCATCTGAGCTAACCAGCCCCCTGCATTATCTTTTAATTCTATTTTTCCACAAAGGTTTTGGAGTACCCTTGTATGTGACACCTGCTGTGTGTTGGGCTCTGTTCTAAGCACTCAACATGAAATAACTCATTTACCTCTAAAAAGCAGCCTGTAAGGCAGGACTTACATCACCCCCAACTTACAGGTAGGGAAACTGAGGCACTTGCCCACAGTCATCCAAAGAGTAAAATGGCACTTAACTGTTGATCCAGGGGATGTGTGGTCTTGGAGTTAAGCTCTATGGCCACCTCGGGAAAGTCTCTGCTACCTGCACCTGCCCAGGCTACCAAACAGGTCAACAAAGGCCCCTGCATTGCAGGCTGGTGGGAAGGGGATAAGAGTAGCAGATACCAAAATGGCAGTTGGGAGAGCTTTAGGTAAATGACTGATGCTCATAAAAGCCTCACTATTATTACTGTTACTGTTGTTGTGCCTGTCCACAGGTGGGAAAACCAAGGCTCAACATTGTGAGCCTCAGAGTCCCTCAGAGGGGGCCTGGGTGCATCCTCTCCCAATGCCCCCTGCCCACTCCTGGCCCTGAGCCACAGCCAGCGTGATCCTGGTGTGGTCCGGCCAGACATTTGCCTGATGCAACTGTCGCACCACTGCCAGGCCCTTGTGCAACACAGAGCACCCAGCTGGCCAGTTAACGATTGACCGAGGGTTCGTGGGGGTGTTAGGGCATAAAAGGCGGCAGCATTGGCACCGGGGCTGCATACCCAGACCCTCAGCCATGTCCGTGATCACTCTGTGTTTGCTGTGGGCCCTGGCAATGGTGGCCCAGCCTCTCTCAGCAGCCCCAGTGAGCAGCCCGAAGCCAGCACAGCATGAAGAGCTGACCGTGCTCTTCCACGGGACCCTCCAGCTGGGCCAGGCTCTCAATGGCGTGTACAGGACTACAGAGGCACGGCTGATGGAGGCTGGGCGCAGCCTGGGCCTCTATGGCCATGCACTGGGACTCTTAGGGCAGGAGGTCAGCCAGGGACGGGATGCAGCCCAGGAACTTCGAGCAAAACTGTTGGAGATGCAGGTGGGCACTGCAACTGGGGTGTTGTGGGGTGGGTAGGAGTCTGAAGAGGAGTTAATGTCTTGGGTGATCAACCATCCTGGTTTGCCCAGGATTGAGGGGGCTCCCGGGATGCAAGACTTTCAGTGATAAAATCAGGCAAGTCCCGGGAACACAGGGACGAGTTGGTCAGCCCAGTAATGACCCATTACCTATTGAGCAGACGGAGGAGAATGCTCTGCAGCTACAGGCAGAGGCCACAGCCCAGGCGCTGGGGGAAGCGGCCCAGGCACAGCAGGAGCTGTGGGACAGCGTGCGGTGGCTAGAAGTCCAGCTGAAGGGTGTCCGGCTGGGCCATGCCCACCACAAATTTGAGGCCTTAAAGGTAAGAGGCTCCCAGCTCTGGGGAGTTGAGACCCTAATTCCTGGTTGGAACCTGCTTCTGAATCTTGAGTTCCAAAGACCTCCCGGCTGTACAGCATATATCCTGTATGACCCTGGGCAAACCCCATGTTCCTTTTTGTGCCTCAGTTTCCCCATCAGCAAATAAGGGCAATAACTGATATCTCAGAGCAGAGCCAGGCACTTAATGCAGATAAAGTATTCAGCATGGGCACACAGTAGGTGCTCAATAAATGCTTATTACTAGAGTAACTGGTGACACTTCTTGAGCACCCAGTAAGTACCCAGCACTGTTCTAGGCCCTTTAATAATCCATATCATGTTCATAACCCCATCAAGTGAGTCCTACTTTATCCCCATTTTACAGATGGGGAAGTTGAGGCCAGAGAGTGTTGGTGACTTGTTGGGTCACAAAGATGCAATAGAGGGGCCTGGGCACGGTCAGAGGATGTGAGGTGAGGTGACCCCCAGCTGAGGTTTGCAATCTGACCCCACAGGCTCACGCTGACAAACAGAGCCACATCGTGTGGGCCCTCACAGGTCATGTGCAGCGACAGAGGCAGTTGATGGCAGCACAGAAGCACCAGCTGCGACAGATCCAGGCGAGGTGAGCCTGGCGGGGGGTTGGTGTGCAGGGCAGCTGGATGGGGGGCTCACAGGGCAGCGGGTAGGGGCCCCCTTGCCACCTTAGCTGAGCCACATATCACTCCCCAGGCTCCATACAGCGGCTCTCCCGGCCTGAGCCTGCCTGGGCAGAATTGAGGACCAGTCACGCAGCGAGGGACACTTCCATGCCCCACGCAGCCCCTGCATAGGGAGGAGACTCCCGCTCTTTGAAGTCAGCCAGGGCACCAGGCCTTGCTTCCAGACACAGAGCAGAGACGGAAGCAGGCGGGGACGAAGGCAGAGGACATGGCCCATGGGGGAGGGGTGGAGGAAGGACGTGTGCGCCTTCATGCCTGTTCACCCCCCATTAAAACACAGCTGTGGCATTTCACCCTGAGTGTCTGTATGTGTCTGTGAGGAAGGGGGACCTCCCCTTGCATGATGCCTGATCGCTCCCCATTCAAGTGCCCAGCTGCACCCTGAGGCTGTACCTGTAGCTGGTGTGGGGGGCGTAGACTTCGCGGGCAGGGAACTCCAGGATCTCCTTGGTGGGCCGGCCCCGGGGATCTGGGTAGGGCTTAACATGAAGCAGCTCAGGAGAGAGGCAGAAGTGGGGATTCTCGGGGGCCGGGGAAATGTCGATCTTGAGCTGGGCTGGGGAGGGAGAAGCCGGTTTGCACCTGCAGGGAGCCACCTGGCTGAGCCCACCCTCTCTGGGCTGTGGGATCTGAGATCTGACACCCCACGATGCCTTCTGGTGGCTTTATCCTCCATGTGCAAAGTCCAGAAGTCACCCTCAACTCCCGTCTCTGGCCCCCACATTTGATCAGCTCTGCCCTCAGGACCCCTGCCCCACCTGCCACCATGTCCCCCATTTGACCCACTATCTGTCTTATTTACTCTGTTTCTTGTCTGTGGACCCAATGAGAAGGTCCAGCCCCTGAGGTCAGGGGTTCGTTTCTCATGGTCATCGCTGGGTCCCCAGTGCCTAGCACAGTAGGTGCTCAGTGTGGGTTTGTTGAGCGACTGCATGAGAAGGGCATGTCATGCTGATGGGGTGTGCCACGCACCAGTCACAGGCCGCAGGCGCCGCAACAGGGATGACGGGCGCCGCATATCAGCCAGGAACTTGAAAAGGTCCTCGTCGCTGAGACGTTCGGCTTCCTGCATGGGACCGGCCCCTATGACCCAGGGCCAAAGGGCTGGGCGTCCCCAGGGCCGATGTGGCCACAAGAGGTGCAGAGAGTCTTTGGCACCCTCTCCCGCAGCCCCTTGCCCTGCAGCAACACCTGCTTAAAGAAGTTGGTGACAGTTAGCGTGGCTGGGCGGAAGCCAGAGAAGCTGCACACGTCGTCCCCGCTACTTGTCCGGTCCTGGGGCCCCCGACGGCGGCGGTCAGTCCAGGTGGGTCGGCGCTCTAGGGGGACAATGAGAGTGACAGCGGTGGCCAGAGATGAGAGACAGACGCGGAGATCGGATGTGATACCGAGTTGGGCCAGCAGAGGGCGCCCGCCCCCGTCCCCGCCAGCCCCGCCTCCTCACCGCCCTCGGAGTCCGAGTCTCGGTCTGGCTGCCCCGCGCTGTTCACGATGTTGGCCAAGTGCACGGCCGTCCAGGCGAAGGGCATGCGGTAGCGGCCCAGGCGGGTGCAGAACTGCTCCGCCGCCAGGCGCAGCTTCTCCAGCTTCTCTTTGTTCTGCGGAGAGACACCCCGTCACCCCCAGCTCAGCGCCCCAGGCCTGCAGAGTCCAGCACCTGCCCTGCCGGGTGCGGTCCAGCCTCCACACGCTTACCTTGGCTGTGTCCACCTCCTTCATCACCATGTAGGGCTCGCAGCACTCGCTGATATCCCCTTGCTGCAGCACCTTCTCCAGCTGCGGGGAAGGCCGGCCCAGTGAGGTGCTGCCCAGACCCCCTCTCCCCTTCTGCCCCCGCCCCCAGCCTCCAGAGACCCTCATGGGCACCCAGACACTCCATGACCCTGGAACTCTTGGTCCAACACCTCCCATGGCTCCCACTGTCCCTGGGATCAAGTGCTAGTGCTCGGCCTGCAAAGTGGCTACCCTCTCCCCGCCCTTCAGACACACCCCAAACCCTAAGCTCAAGCCCACCTTTAGCTCATGACAGTTTCCCTACATTGACGTTTCTTTTTGTTAGTGTGAATAGAGGCTGCTTTGGGCCACAAGGCCTGGACTCCAATCCTGACCATTCAGGGGCTGTGGGATGCTAAGCAGGCCCCTTACCAGCTCCATGCCTCAGTTTACCCATCCATAAAATGGGAGCAGCCATGGCAATCCTCACCTCAGGGACTGCCGTGGGGACCAAAGGGAAACCCTGTGAAGCCTGACTGTGAGCAGGGACTGCCTGTGGGTGCACAATTTGTTTCCTTATTGTAATCTAATTGAAGGTTTTAGAAAAGGAAACTTGACCTCACTCCTGGAAACAAAATCCCAATAAGTGCGCCAACTAGGTCTTTCCTCCCCTAATTAAATTAACTGAACAATTCTCAGCTTAGAAAACATTTTTTTTTTTTGGCATCTAGTCAGTACAAGGATCCAAACCCTTGATCTTGGTGTTATAACACCGCGCTATAATTAAAAAACATTTTAAACATCAGTCTACGAACCTCCCGATAGCATCTTGCTTGCCTCCCAGGACCCTGGGGCTGTGGCATGTGACCAGAATGTCCTTTCTCCCCAGGCCGCCCACCCATGGGTCTTGGCTCAGGTGTCACCTCTCATGGAAGCCCTTGGGGACTTCTCCCAACCCAGGTTGGATCAGCAGCTTCCTCCAGATTCCTCCAGCTGGCCGTACCTCCCCCATGACAGCCCTAATCACCTTTCTTGGTGACATGTCTGTCCCATTCTGTGAAGGCAGGGACCGAACCTGTGGCATTCACTATTACCACCCCCTTGCCCAGCCCCAGTGGGTACCTTGATGACCAGGAAGATGTCGGGTGAGGGGTAGGTCACGGAGAAGATGGCAGAGCGGGCCAGGGTAGAGATGGCCGGGTGGGTGCCGTGGGCCCGAAGCAGCCCTTTCATGGAGTCTGAGTTCAGGTCGAAGTAGAAGTTCTCTGAGATCTGGGGACACGAGAGGCAGCTGGGCCACCACCTCTAGGAAGCCCACAGCCCCCCAACGAGGAGGGGGAAGGGGAAAAAGAAGAAGAAAGGGAGTTTCTACCTTCTTTTTCTCCCGCACGTCATACAGAGCCAAGATCCCAAAGATGGGTTCAATTTCGATCTCGAACCTGCGGGTAAATGGGGGCGTTTCTCCCTGACACCCCCGCCGTCCACACACCCTTCTGCCTCTTGAGACCGAAGAGGAAGCGTGTTGTGGAGGGGGGTATCTGACTCCCCTCAGGCCACATGGAGCTGCCATTTAAGGGCTTTAAGGAAAGGTGTGTCCCATTTTGCAAAAGGGGAAACTGAGGCACTGAGTGTCCCCTGTCCACAACTCCCTCAGTAAGTAATCACACACAGCCCCTCCTCCCTGTAACCATGGCTTCTATCCAGTTGGCAAGGAGGCAGCTTTTGGCACAACAGTCCCCCGATCTTGAAATGCTCGACTCCAGGCACCCATGCCTAAACAATTATGTCTTCCCACCGGTGCGTGTTCTGTGCCCCCCACATCCCTCCTCTCCTCCATTCAGCCAACTCCTCTTCATCATCAGGTCTTAGCTTAGACATCTCTTCCCTGGGGAAGCTGTCCTGGAGCCCCCCCCCCACCAGCTGGGTGAGGGCCCCCCCCCCCTCCAGCTGGGTGAGGAGCCTCCTCTGGGTCCCTAGGCACCCTGAGCATCTCTGTGTGGTCATCGCATGGTTATGTGCCCTGTATACAGCAGCCCCCCCCACCAGCTGGGTGAGGAGCCTCCTCTGGGCCCCTAGGCACCCTGAGCATCTCTGTGTGGTCATCGCATGGTTATGTGCCCTGTATACAGCAGGCACTCGATGAGTGTTTGTTGAATGACTGGATGAGCACACAGAGCCGATTCCTAATGCTTGTGCTTGGGGTGTAAGGCCCACCCGGGGCCTCCCTTTCCTGCCTCCATCCAGGCAGGAACTCGGGGACGGGAGGGGCAGGGCCAGGCTCTCGTCCAAGTCCACATCCTGTTCAGCTCCTTTCCCACGCACTTCTGGCTGCTCCCAGGGGGCCGACGTGGAGGGGGCCTTGGGCGGCCAGGAGCCAGGCCCCACCCCGCTGGATCCCAGCAGCAGGACAGGCAAGCGTCAGACTCCAGCCTCTGAAGTTGTGTGTGATCTTGGACACAATGACTTCACCACTCTGTGCCTCAGTTTCCCTACCTGCACCCACTTCACAAGGTTGTGGTGAAGATGAGATGAATTCATATATGTGAAGGGCTGAGAACAGAGCCTGGCACATAACTGGTGCTTAAGGACTGGCAGCTTAGAATGACAAGAAAGGAAGTCTTATTTCCCCCATAAAAGCCCACGGTGGCCTCAGGTTGCAGACCTGCAGATGGTAATGGCATTGTTCACGTAGGGAGTACCCACGCCGGAACCCACGTGGTCCCCTCACGTGTCTGAGAGGTGGGGCGGATGGCATACTCACTTGAGTGACAGACACTTGACCAGGATCCTCTGTCCAAAGTGTTCACGGGGTGGCTCCGGGCGGCTGCAGCGCTCCACAGTCTCGTCCTGCCAAGAGCCAGGGGGGCAGCTGGGACATAACCTCCAGGAAGGGTCTAGAATGCCTGGCCCAGGAACAGCTCTACCCTCAGCCTGACTAAACTTTCAGTCCCCTGCCTCTGAGCCTCTGCACATGCTGTTTCCCCTGCCTGGAACGCCCCTCTTCTCCCCTCCTCCCTGTCTGGCCAATGTCTGCTCATCGTTCAGGCCCCAGCTTAGCTGGCACTTCCTCCAGGAAGCCTTCCCTGATTCTTCTGGCCAAGGCAGACACCTCTTCCAGGTGCTCACAGTACCCTATTGCAATGGGCCACATGGCTGGCACACTGAGGGCCATGTGAGAGATGACAACCAGCACCCCATCATGGCACTACTCTGTCTTAGTTGTAAGTTCCTAGTGGGGGTGTCTCTCCTCACTAGACTGTGAACGCTGAGAGCAGGGACTGGGTCTATTTTATTCATGGCTGTATCCCTAGTGTCTGCCATACAGTGGACACCCAAACATTTTAGTTGAATAAATACAAACATATACAGTAACTAGGTTGGCCAGGTAGCTCATTTTGTTAGAGGATGGTATTGGTAACACCAAGGTCAAGGGTTTAGATCCCTCTACTGGCCAGCTGCCAAAAAAAGAGACATATACAGTAGTTACCTACTAAGTTGCTTGGATAAACATAGGTGCATACAGAATACATTCAATACGGGCTGACCAATTAGCTCACTTGGTTATCACAGTGCTGATAACACCAAGGTGAAGGGTTCGGATCCCCATACTGGCCAGCCACCAAAACCGAAATACATTCAATAAATGCTGATAGGACATATAGGGATATATACTAGGCACCCAATAAGTACCAATTGAATAAAATATAGAATATACAGTAAGCACTCAGTAAATGGCTAAATAAAAACACAAATATACACTAGGTGCCAAATAAATGTTGGTTGGATAAATATAGGCATATATGGTAGGTACTGAGCAAATACCAATTAATTAAATAGAGAACTATATTGTAGGCATATAAGTATTGGTTGAATAAATATAGGGATATACATTGGTGCTCAATAAATGCAGGCTGGATAAATATAAGGGGGATATAGTAGGCATCCAGTAAGAACTATTGAATAGACATGGGGTATGCAGTAGGCCCCCAGTAAGCATGCAGTGGATAAGCGCTGTCCTTAGGGTGGCGTGAGTCCACGGCACCCACCTCGTCGGGCGCAGGGTAGAGGGTGAGCAGGGCAGGGGACCGCTGCTGCCGCCGAAGGGCTTCATTGCGCCGGTCCACGTCCTCGGGGGCTGCCCGCTCCAGCAGTGAGGGCAGCAACGTGTCTGCGGCCAAGTTCCTCAGGTCAAAGATACCAGAGGCGCCGCTGCTTCGAGGGGTGTCATCTAGGGAGCCTGAGCAGCGCCGGGTGTCATCCTGCCAGTGGAGAATGTGCAAGTGCTGAGTGCCAGCTGGATGCACCCTCATCCCACTCTGGTGAGACTGTCCTCATACCTATTCTATGGATGGGGAAGCTGAGGGCCAGAGGGTGGAGTCACCACTACAAGGGTCACTTGGGGGATTTTGCTTTCCAGAAACTTCTCTCTGGGAAGCCCTCCTTCTTTTGCCCTTCTTGGGGGAGGCTATTCCTATCTCACATTCCGGGCTCCACCTGACCCTTGTCTGGCCAATCAGAACCCATCTGCCAACCCCAGGGATTGGATCCAAGGGAAAGAAATGGCTGGGCTGGACCAATGAGAGCCTTCCCTGAGATTTTGCTCACTGTTGCCAAGGAAGTGGAGAGTTCTTCCCACTCGGGCTGTCACTGGCCTAGGACCCTGCCTGACTGCCCAGACTCAGCTGCGGTCAGAGCCAGATCGCCCTGGTTCAAATCTTGGCTTGGCTCTGTGAACCTAGGTCTCTGGCCCTAACTCTTAGGACCTTGGTTTCCCCATCTACATGTTAAAGTAATAACAATGGAAACAATAATAATAATTCTTGGGTTAATTATTGTTGGTATAAATTAGGGACTCAATAAATGTTGATTGACTAAATATAGGCTCAAGGTCTTCTAATAACCTTGCTGTGCCTCAGTTTCTTTACCTGCAAAATGGGTACAAGGGTTGCCCTGATTCATAGGATGAAAGGAGAGGACATGTATAAAACATTTAGTATACAATAAATGTTTATAATTATCTTAACTTTTCACTCATGGGGCTGATGTATTTCCTTTTGGGCTCAAGGCTGTTTGGGTCATTTCCTGATATATGTGACCGAAAGCTGGGGCTGGAGCCTACACACATACCCCTGTGGTAACCCTGGCCAGAGGTTTTCTCACCGAGTCCTCAGGGCTGGACCTCTCATCCCCAGAAGTGTCCTGTTCAAAGATCTGGTGGGTGAGGCCCTTCTGTCGCTCTCGTTGTGTTTCTGGGGTGATGGGGCTGTACGCTGCACTCAGATGCTGGTACCTAGCAAGAGGTGGGGCTGGGCAGGGAGTGGGGTTGAGGGCTCCCCAGAGCTTCCCCTGCCAAGGCCCACATCATGCCTGCAAGGCCAGAGAAGTCTGGCTGCTCTCGCAGGGACAGGCAATGGACAGATAACAGGAGGACCGGCCGCAGACAACAGCTCGGCTCTTCCGGGCTCAAACCCAGCCTCTTGACCCTCTGTGCCCCGAGTCAGACCCACCTTCTGTGGACAATCACCCAGTCCTCAGTGTACATTTCCACCGCAGCCCGCACCTGGGCATCCAGTTTTCTGCAGCAAAATAAAATCAGGGTAAACAGAGGTAGCGCCCCATGTTCTAATGGCCAAGGAGGTTGGGACAGTCATCTGCCCATTTCAGAGATGGGGAGATGGAGGCTCAGAGAGGGAGGATGCCTTGTCCAAGGTCACACAGCCGGGCCAGGAGTTGAACTCAGGGATGTTGGATTCTGGAGCCTGCTGGGAAAGGGGGTGTCAACAGGAGTCGCCGAGGCAGAGTGGAGTTACGGGCAGGGTGGGTGGGGGGCTGAACCCACCCATCCTCGGGGATCCCAGGCTCTGTGGTCCGGCATTCCCGGGGCTGCAGCAGCAGCTCCAAGTCATCGGCTGGAAATTCTACCAGTTCCCTGAGGGGCCCAGGCTCGGCGTCTGGTGGCCGGCTCAGGAGCACATCCTCGAAGTCCAGGGGTTCAATGACTTCAGTCAGCGGGACCTAGGTCGGGGCAAAGTGGCTGTGACTCTGCTGCCCCAGAGGCTGGGAGTGGGGGGTGTGAGGTGGGGGTGGGCTTGTGCTGGCTTCGGACTCAAATAAGAGGGCGGTGGGAGACATGGAGGGTGTTGGAGCGGCAGAGGAGCCATGGAGGACAGTGACCTCAGACTCTCTGCCCCTCTTCCTGCTTTGCAGAGTTCCACCCCTCCCTCCCGGGGCTCCAGGAAGGAAATCACACCCTGGTGCCTGGAGGGACGGGGACTAATGGTGGAAGGAAAGGCATGTTGACTACAGCAAGGCCACAGACAATTGCTAAGGCCTCCAGGCAAGACAGCAAGATGGCCCTCCTTGCAGCAGGGGGAAGTCACTCCCATCCCCCAAGTCCGCCCCATCCCCATGTGGGTGGCCCAGACAGCAGGACCACCCACAGAGCTCTCCCCACCCCAAGCAGATGCAGGGAGGGCGGACACTCTCCCCTACTCACAGGAATGGGGGACAGCCCTAGGGTCAGGGCTTTGATCCCCTCCCCTGCCACTTTTGGGTCCCTCTCTGTTTCTGCACAGGACAGGACACTCATGTAAAGGAGTGGGACCAAAGGGCCAGCCCGTGGCTCACTTGGAAGAGTGTGGTGCTAGTGACACCAAAGCCACGGGTTTGGATCCTATATAGGGATGGCCGCTTAGCTCACATTGGAGAGCGTGGTGCTGACAACACCAAGTCAAGGGTTAAGATCCCCTTACCGATCATCTTTATAAAAAAAAAGCAGTGGAACCTAGCCTAGCAGGCCAAGCCCCACCTCTTCCTACCAGAGGGCAGGGGCCTGGGGGGGCCCCAAAAACTTACCCCCAGGGAGCTGCTGCAGCGCCTGCTGGAGTGGGGGGAGCCACTGCGTTCCCGGGACACCTGCTTCCGCACCTCGGCAGCCACCGTCCTGTGAGGACAGGAAGGGGACCATTGGGGGCAGGAAAACCCAAGCTTTGGGGCCAACAGATTCATTCTAGGAGAGGAGAATCCAGGCTGCAGAAAGGGAAAAA